GGTAACTAATGACAAGACGAGAAGAAATGGCCTCAAGTTGCGTCAGGGGAGATTTAAATTGGATATTAGGAAAAAATTCTTTACTGAAAGGGTTGTCAAGCATTGGGAAGGGTGGAGTCCTGCTCAGGGAAATGCTGGAGTCACCATCCCTGGAGGTGTTCAAAAAACATGTTTATGTAGTGCTTCTAGACATGGTTTAGTGGGCAGGGTGGTAGCGGGTTGATGGTTGGACTTGATAATCTTAGAGGTCTATTCCAACCTAATGCTTCTACCCAGTAGCTTGCTGAATAAGTAGAGCTTGTCTTTTTAAGTTTCAGGGAACAATTTAAGATGTCATTAATTAAAAAAAAAGGAAAAAAGGAAGGTTTTTTTATATTTACATCGGGTTATTCTAATAATGTGGTAGGATATTGCTAGGTATTGCTACTTATTGTGTTAGTGATCTGAAAATGAGACTGATAGCTGTGAACACCTGCATAGTCACTCTGCCCCTGATAGCAAATCCTTTTGTGGATGTAGGCAAGTCTCCACATCTCTCCTCCTCTATTTCCTTTCTTCACAAACAGTGTTTATTAGTAAGTGGTATTTAATAGTATTGCAAACTATGTGTCCAAAATGAGGAGCACAGCAGCGTTGTGTGCCTGCAATAATTAATGTGTCAGACCACAGTAACAAATTGCTTGCAATGCTAAATTTGACTTAGCAAAGCTGTTTTTCTCATGGAGGATGCATATGGGTGATTAGAGGAAACAGGTTCAGCACCAAAATGAGGCGGAGAAAAGCCAAGTGGCACTGGCTGTTCTGAAGCTCTTCAACAGAACCAGGCAATCTCGGTTAACAAGGGTATTTTGTGTAGATGGTACTTGAAATATTGCAGTTCGGCTGACTGACATGACCTTTCTGCTTGGTTCATGAAAAAAGGTAGTTTCAAAACTCTACCTTTTTTCAAAACCCTAAGAAATGCCTTACAGCCGGTGCCACGCAGCAGGAGTCTAGGGCAGACAGTCTGCATGGCAGCTCAGGCACAAGCATGTGAAGTTCAGAAAGCTCCTCTGTCCTGATTATTCCTTGTGTCCCAAAGGCAAAGTCCATTTGTACAGTGCTCCCTCTCTGACAGTGGCCCAGACAAGCAAGAGACATGCTTCTTCACAACACGGACATATGGTCTGACCCCGTATGGCAGTTTCTGTATCTGGAGGGCTGTGCCCTGAGGAACACATCTAGGACTGGCGTCTTCTTTATAATCTGGATGATTTGACATCCTTGGCATGAATATACTGGAGAAGGTGACTGGGCTTTTTCCTTTTGAGGCTATTCCTGCATCTCACAAGCATCAAATGACATACCGGCAGTTTATGTCTAAATACAGCCTTTTTTGCAAGGCTATCATGTATGTCATGTGCTTCTGTGGGGCTCATGGAGAGCAACTGAGAGACACAGAGGTGTTAAGAAGGGGTTGAGAGGAGGAAAGAGAAAAGGGGATGAGAATGAAGGGATAGCAGGCCAGCAGGGCTCCAGGCTCTGGATCTGGTGTAGCACCTTGGGCTCTGCTGCAGCACCTTGGGCTCTGCTGCTTTTGGACCCCATGTGTTGGGCAGAGCAAGGAGCAAGGCAAAAGTTCAATGTCTGCAGTAGGAGGCTGGGGCCAAATGACTGAGTCAAAGACTTGACTGACCTCTGAGCGCATATCTATGTTGTTGTTTGCACTTTACATACAAATATGTATAACCCACCAGTTCTTATGATGCAATATTGGAAGAAATGCAATTTATAAACTAGGCAAATCCAGAATCTAGATCCTCCATGGAAAAGGTCAACTGTGGGACATCATTTCTGTGGAACGTGATCACAGGAGCTAGGTGAAGATGAAGAAAATGCAGCCGAAGCATCTACTGCAGCTATTTAAGACACTGCAGTACTAATGCAGGGAGTACTACAGAGGGATTTCCTGTGATCAAGCCCTGAAGGAGTCAGAGCACTTTCAGGACCTGGCACAGAGTTCCTTCCAATGCTGCATTTTTCATCACTATTAAGATGCAGCATCAGTGGCAGTGAACACGCAGACGTTATGGCGATGCTGCAGTCTGCGGGTAGGGTCGGTGCTCTTGCTCCGACACCAGCAACCTGGGATTTGCTCTCTGTGTCAAAACAGGTTGTAATTAAGACTTCTGTTCATTATGTAAGAAATGATTTTTGGCTGGATGCCTGTTCCCAAACCTTGTGTATCCGTGCGAAATTGGGGGAAATGGCCTGCAGGAAGTGTCTGGGACACGGTGTCTGTGGTGAGCCAAGACAGAGGAAATACACAGGTCTTGATTCTTTGCTACCCTGTAGCTCTGAACAAGGTAGTCAGTCAGAGCTCCCAGGGGCTGCCCTGGACTGATTAATTTACAAAAAACTTGATGCAAGGAGTTTAGTCTGTAGGGACCACCAGCAGCAAACAGCATACAGAGGAAGCATGCGTGGAGATGGGCCATTATGCAGCCTGTCACGGAAAGATAAAATACTTCCTTTTCCACTTGACAATACAAAGTGCTCGTCATTAATCAAGGTAGTGTAAAAGATGCCTCTCAGCAGTTGCCACTAAACTTCCTACTCTGTTATTGACGCTATAAAAGCGTGTATATTGAAGCTACCCGCCTGAAGCTGACCACTTTCCTCCTTTTTCTGAGTCTGCAGAGGGAAAAGGAGAGCTCCAGGTGTTGCTTCCTTACACCAAGGTGTGCAGTGCAGATAAGTGTGTCTGATTTCAGTCCTACCAGGCATAGACTTTCTATCCATTTCTTTTCCTAGTGTCCAACAAGCACCATTTTATGGACAGCAACTTGCTCTATCAGTGCAGAATGAATTTCCGCCGGCGGCGGCGATTAATGGAACTCCTCACTGAAAAATCTCGCTTGATGCCAGAAAGCCATGACAGCCCGTTTTGCCTGCGCAAGCAGAACCACGACAACAGAAAACACACCAGTTTTCTCTCAGGTGACACATCAACTATACTGCTGTCTGTAGGGCAACTCCGTGGGATGTTAAAGAGTCCTTTTTGGATGAGGGGTTTCAGTGTTTGTCTGAAAAAAACCCAGGGGGGTATCATGTGTCCCTGTTTGTAGGGATTGTCCATTCTCTCAATTTACCAAATCTTTAGCTCCCTGGGGTGGTTTTGATCTGTATCAATAGCATTTCAGATGCTGGTCAAAATTTGGTGTCCATGAACAAACAGAACTGTTTAAAATCCCCTAAGCCCAAAGTAATCTGTCATACATTCTATGTGGAGTTTTCAAGAAGACTAAAAGTGAGGGGAAGGGGTCCTGCAGCATTGCTGTACAGCGATATCTAGTAAGAGCTGAAAGAATAAATGTGAAGTAAAAGGAAAACTGGAAAAACTTACTTTCCTATGTTGAAACACCTCCTAGAAGACACTGCAATGGGAGCAGTTTAGCTATCGTGTTAGCTACAACATTATACTCATGCAGTGACTCTTCTAACTGCGTAGAACACACTAACCCCTTCCCAGTGTTGTCAGCGAAGACATGGCTTTTTGATATTGTTTTAAAGAAACCAGGGAAATGGGTTTGATAATTTATACTGGTTCCCTTTCTCTGTTTGTAGTGAGCCCCACCAAGGAGATAAAGATTGTGTCGGCAGTACGGAGGAGCAGCATGAGTAGCTGTGGCAGCAGCGGATACTTCAGCAGCAGCCCAACGCTCAGCAGCAGTCCCCCTGTGATCTGCAACCCCAAATCCGGTGAGCACCAGCATCGCTTATGACTCAGAGGAGTCAGGGCACACACATCTGTTTGGGGAGAAGGCGATGTGAAGAATGCCTAGCATTGTGTCTAAGTTTATCTTTTCAAGGATACGTTAAAAATTCACAGTGTCACAGGTTTTGTAGGCCAGAGGGGACTATTATCTTCTAGTCTGAAGTTGTGCTGAACACAAGCCAGACGTCTGCCTCCAATAATCTCTACATCAAGCCCATAATTGTGGTTTGAGCTGCAGTTTATCTCTTCGGAGGACATGCAGTCAGAGGCCCAGATTTGCCTCTTCATTGCCAAGCTCTGAACCGATTCAAATCTCCTCCTAGAGACATTCCTTTGGTGCAAGTCAGAGGAGAGTTTAACCATCCAGTGGCTGCTTGAGTTGCTGTGAAATAACTCAGAAAAGAGCAGCCTCTAAAAAAAGATGCAGCATCGTTTCAGCCTGTCAGGGTCCATTTCGGCATTTTCGTTTGTTTAGGTCTTACACCGGTCTGTTTAGGAAGGTAAAAGTAATGTTGAAGCTTATTTTCCTTTTGAAAGGATTTCCTATCCCACGCCGGAAGGTTAAACACACCCATTCTTCCACAGTTCACTTAAAATTGTTTCTTACTGTACATCTGGCAAGGGGAAAACAGACCAGGATAGATATTGTTTCAGCCTCTCTGTTTCCCTCAGAAACAGCCCTGAGTTTCAAAGCAGAGTCGCTGCTTCCCTTTGTGCTCCTTATTATTTCAAATTTACCGGGTCTTTGCCAATGGTGTGGGGAGTGTTGTTCAACGGGGGAAGGCTTTAGTGGATATATGTAAGCTTTGCTTTCAAAGGGATGCTGGCATTTGAAGAGATTACTAGAGAGTGCCTCAAGCACTGTATGCATCCTGTTCAAAACCGACAATTTACTCTGGAGCTAAAGTACATTTCATTC